GACTTACAACATTGCATAAACTTAGTTGATCAAACAGCGTCAGGGTTGAAGAGGACTGACTCCAATTTTGGAAGAAGTTCTACTGTTGGTAAAAGGTAACAGCATCACATGCTACAGAGAGATCTTTGGTGAAAGGAAGTGTCCACTTGCTTGTTGTCTTTTTTAAAGAAATTGCTACCACTACCCCAACCTGCAGCAACCACCACCCTGATCAGCCAGCAGCCGCCAACAATGAGGCAAGACTGTCCTCCAGCAAAAAGAGTACGGCTTGCTGAAGGTTCAGATGATGATTATTAGCATTTTGTGCAATAAACTGTTTTTTAATTAAGGCCTGTACATTGTTATTTTAGACATTATGCTGTTGCACATTTAATAAACTGCTGTATGGTGTAAATATAATTTTTATATGCACCAGGAAACCAAAAATTTCATGTGACTCTACTGCTAAATTCACTTTATTGCAGTGGTTTGTAATTGAACCACAGTATCTCTGAGGTATGCCTGTACCCGAGAGAACTGAAAATAGGTTTTCCAACAAAAATTTGCTCATGAACATATATAGCACCATTACTTATGGTAGCCAAAAAATAGAACCAACCCAAATGTTCATCAACTGCTGAATGGAGAAATAAAATGTGATGTATCTGCATAGTGGAATGTTATTTAGCCATAAAAGGGATAAAGTACTTATACATAGTACAACATGGATGAATCTTGAAAATATGCCAGACAAAAAGGTCACATATTGTATGATTCCATTTTTATCAAATGCCCCTAGTAGGCAAATCCATAGAGACAGAAAGCAGATTAGTGGTTGCCAGGGGCTGGAGGGAGGAGGGAGGAGGGAATGTATTCTTAATGGGTACAGGATTTCTCTTTGGGGTGATGAAATGTTTTGGTACTAGATACAGGTGGTTACACAACATTGTGGATAAACTAAATCCCACTGAATTGTACACTTAAAAATGGTTAAAAGGGTGAATTTTATGTTATGTGTATTTTACCACAATCACAACAGCAAAACATAGGATGATCTGAAGGTCCCCTTTCTTCTGAAATTTAGGACACATAGATATTGGGAGAGTATGAAAATATTTTCATAAGCATCAGCTAGAACTTAAAGGAAATTGGAAACTAAAAATTTCAGAGAGAATGCTCTTAGTGTCTCTTCTGTTTATTTTTTTAAATTAAAATTAAATATTTCATTTAAAAACTATCTAAAATAGACCTGATTTCTAGCCATATATCTAAGCTGTTTATCAAACAATTAATTAATCTATGTAGCCAGCTCTCCATCTGTGCATACAGAAAAATTTCCACAATAATGTTCACCTAATATAAATAATAGTAATTTCTGCGTGGTGGAATCTGGGTGGTTAAAATGAGCTTTCCTCTTACTTTTCTGCACTGTCTGATTCTTTATCATGAATATCTATCATTTTTATGAGCACTATTATGTGATTTTTCTTATATAAACCAACTACACTCATAAGCAAAGGGAGGTGAATATACCGAGATGGAATGATAATTAATTCTGGGGGGTATACATTTCATTGTTCTTTCTTTCTTTGTACTTTTGTTGGGTCTTTTTTCAATTCCCATAGTAGTATTTTAAAAATTCATAAAATTTTAGAAAAATTCATAAAATTTAGAAAGAGAAACATTAAGAGACTTGCTCAGGCCGGGTGCGGTGGCTCACGCTTGTCATCCTAGCACTCTAGGAGGCTGAGGTGGGTGGATTGCTCAAGTCAGGAGTTCGAAACCAGCCTGAGCAAGAGTGAGACCCCGTCTCTACTAGAAATAGAAAGAAATTAATTGGCCAACTAAAAAAAAGTATATATATATATAAAAATTAGCCGGGCGTGGTGGCGCATGCCTGTAGTCCCAGGTACTTGGGAGGCTGAGGCAGGAGGATCGCTTGAGCCCAGGAGTTGGAGGTTGCTGTGAGCGAGGCTGACGCCACGGCACTCTAACCTGGGCAACAGAGTGAGACTCTGTCTCAAAAAAAAAAAAAAAAGAGACTTGCTCGATGACTGTTAGAGGTGGAGCCGGCTGGAGTTCACATTCAGGTTTCCTGGACTCCAAAGCCTGATTGTCGGCCTCGAGTTAATCTTGCCATAAGTAGCATGGCTTTGTTTTTCAAAAATTCAATCTCAATGCAATTTCCCCCTGGATTCTAACTACTGACTGAGTCCTACATCTGTCCTTCAAAATGCCAAGACTGCAGGGGAGGGCATTGTCTGTGCTTCCTCTCAAGAACATGTTCCAGTTCCAGGAAATTATCCACCTACTACAAAAATGTCCAGGAACAGAGCATCTGCTGTGTACAGGGCACAAATAAGATGCATTGCTCAGTGACTCTGGGTCTGAAGTTGTCGTGAATTAAGATGCCCAGTAGCCCACTGTAGAGGGGGATTTGTGGTGTTCATTTATCCATTTGCTCACTCTTTATGGAGTTCCTGGGAACTATTAATATAAATGTAGATCCCCAATAGTCAGTAATGTTCTCCTTAAGACATTTTTGCTTGCAAGAAACAGAAACCAACTTACACTAAGCTAAAAGGGAAACTTTATTACAGGAATACTGGATAGTGTTACACGATCCAAAGGGAGAGACACATCTGAACCAGGGCAGGAAATGGCACCAGGGACAGGACTTGGTGGTTTAGAGCAAACGGGCTGATGTCAGATGGTGAGGATTTGAATCTTTGCTCTGAATCTTACTAGCCCTCTGACCTGGGAAAATTTGCTTAACCACTTGGTTAACTAACCTCCAAAATGGTTATAATAACCGTGTTTCCTCACAGGTAGTTCTGAGCATTAAGCAGTTAATGCACGTAAAGGACTTAGCCCAGAGCTTGCAATTTAGTAGGGACTCAATAACTGTTAGTTCTTTGAATTCTTGTATCACCGAAGACTTGATTTCTTAACTTTCCCATCTATATAAGTAAGAATGACCACTCAATCCTACTGATTTTATATGTTCCTGGTCTAGTCTTAGGGGACAAATAAACTTGACACACTCTTGGTTCTAAATCCATATTTCTAGAGAAGAGATTGATTGGCTTAATGGAATATATATCCCCTTCCTGGTCTAATAAACTGAAGCCAGTAAGCAGGGGTCTGCTACCTACTCATGACTGCCAGGAACCCAGCATTGTAAGCACATGGAGGGAGGAAGAGGGACGGATAGCAGACACTGGTTAGACAAACTGAGACGTGTACAGCACACTAAGAAAATCTCTTACTGGACTACTGTTTTGGTGGCATTCAATAAGAAAAGGAAAAAGTGAAAAAAAAATTGTTTTCTTTATCTTGGATGTCCAAAGAGTATCTACAAGAATTCCTATCTGTCTTTTTAAAGCAAACAAATAAACAAATAAATGATGTTCTTGGATTAAACATTTCATGATGGAGGCTTTGAAAATCGCCATGGAATTTTGCCATGGAAGAAATTATTCACTTGTTCTTTTTTGTTTTTTTCTTCAAGGCCTGTGCATAAGAATGGGCTGAGGTATTAGTCTTAGCTCTTTTTTCATGGTAAAGTGCTTTAACAAAATGTGCCCCTTGCAAGCAATAATAGATTTTTCTATATGTTAGTGTTAAAGTCTTTTCATTGTAATAGATTCAGCATCAGGCTATAGTTGCTTATTGAGAAAGATATTCTATGCTGTCTAAGTTGTGAATCTTTAAGATATCTGGATAATTTTATTCAAGTCTGGTTTTTTAAAAAGATGCTTATCTTTAATATGGTTTCAGTCTCAATAATTAACTAGATTCATTTGGTTGCAAGTAATAGAAAACCCAAGTTAGAATAGCTTAAACAATAAGGGGAATTTATCAGCTTACTTAACTGAAAAGTTCAGTGGTAGGGCAGGCTTCAGGTATAGATTGATCTAGTGGTTCACCCATATCATGAGGGTCTCAGTTTCTTTTTGTTTCTCCATATTGTCTTCCTCCTCATCAGTTTCATTTAAAGATTGGCATCCTTCATGGTCACAAAAGGCTGGTAGCAGGAACAGAGGCCACACTTTTTTGTTTCAGCAGAGAAGAGAAAGTATTTTTTTTTTTTTTGTAACTTCCACAGAAAAGAGAGAACTTCTTTCCCAGAATTCCTTTAAAAAGCTACTCTCTCTTGCTGGGAAAAGGAGACACTGGTTGACGTAAGCCAGTTAGGGCCTACCCTCAGATTCTTGGGACAGTTTAATTCCAGCCAAACCTCATCACAGAGAAGTTCAAGGTCCTATTAAAAAAGGGAGAAGGCTAGAAGGTATGGAGAGGAGGTTACCAATAAATTGTTCTCTCCAAAGTGCTTCTTTTTATTTCAAGAAACACTCCTTTTATATCCTTCCCTAAATTTCAACACAGTATAATCTTTTTGCCAATTTTTGGTGAGCGTGGCTAAATGTCTGACTTTAGTTGGAGAACAATCATCCTCTTGCTTTTTATAGACTGCCTTAGAAATAAATTAAGAGGGTAGCTCTAGCTTTTCCTATTGTAGACTTCCATCAGAAAAATCAGATTAGTTCTGATTTATCAAATAAGTGCCTTTATGTTTAATGAAATACTATGCAGACCTATTATCATTGTTTGAAGGGAATCGTGCTGAGACATCTTGATTTTGGGTTTAAAATAGTCCCCCCTGCCTGACTACGGAGCCCCATTCCTATAATAGAGCCACTAATTATTTAGGCATTGGTGAGCATTGCCCTTACCTCATTGTCTGTCAGAGCTAAATTTATGGTGGTGCCTGAATGGCTTGACATTGTATATAGAAGGGGCGTCTGCAAAACAGGAATGTTGAAGAGCACACAAACTGTGGGATAGAGGGGAAAAAAATCAATTTAGACGAAATTTAGAGCCTGACTATTTAAACGACGAGCTTTATGGCCTTTGAACAAATAAAGCATAATTCGAACATCTGGAAGACTGAGGTTGATTGCCAGAGGAAAACATTGATATGTCAATATAATTGTTCCCTTTATACTCCTTTTCCCTAGTGACCTAAATATTTACCAGGATCTAACTTCTTTTCATTTTGCCTACTTAATTTGTAAAGGCTTTTGAGACCTTCCCAGTGATAAATGCTTGACTAAATCCCACGGCATCCAGAAAAAGTCTTATATCATTCCTGGTCAGCTTGAATATAACAGAATTAAAGAAAACTATTGGTTGTCATTCACTTAGCAAATTAGCAAAGAGTATCATATCATCTTGTTCCAACATAGCCCCCAAAATTTATCACATTTTTTCTCATGTGAAAGCTAAAAACAGAAAAGCAAAAAAGAAGAGTTAAGCAAATAATTAAAACAAGCCATTCTTTACATTATGCTGCTTTAACCATTTTGCTATCATAGGGATTCTTGGTTGCTGTCCTTAAAACTCTGTATGATTTCTTATGAACTCAGATAGATACATAGAATTTGTTGAAAATCGTTCATATGCTTTTTATTCTTTTTTATATTTTCAGGTTTTTTTTTAATATGATAGGTGTAATAAAGAAATGAAAGGTTTTTTAAAATTGTTGTAGTTCTAGATATGAAAAGATGCAACCTTAAATTATCTTGACCTACTTTATATTAAATTTTATTTGGAAAGTATTTTGGGATCAAACAGGTAGAATTCAGACTGCAAACCCAGGTAGGTGAAGGCTGGCCTATAGTTATAAATTGTCAGGCGAGGCTTTTTCTCTGCCATGACTCAGAGCTATTTTCTTCTGGTTCCTATCAGTACACTAGTTTTATTTCTCATTGCTCCTTGTACAGAGGGTATAGCCTGTTGGGTCTCAACTTTATGTGGGAATATCAAATTAGCTCTCCTCTGCACCCCTACCCCTCAGACAGTCACTCTGAGCAGCTGTATGTGCCAAAGTTCAAGGTCTCCAGTCTCAGAGAAATGTTTCCCAGGGACCTTGCTTTTCTGTTTTTGGCCTCTGGAGAATCCTTCTTCCCATCCCAGCCCAGGGAAGCACTTACACAGACATTTTTATGTTTTTAATCCAGCTTTTCACTTGCTTCATTCAGCAGTGTTGTTTATCTACTGTCTGCCCTGCTGACATAAAAGTTTTGAATTGCTTTCTAAAATGGTCTTTCAAAGAGTTGTTTACAAATAATCTGACTCTTGGATTTGTGAGGTTACACATCCAGCAATAGTTTATGAATCTGTGTTAAATCTTTGTCCTTTCTTTTTTTGTCTGGACTGCAGTGGTGTGATCATAGCTCACTGCAGCCTCCAATTCCTGGGCTCAAATGATCCTGCTGCCTCACCCTCCTGAGTACTTGGACTACAGGCAAGTGCCACCACATCTGGCTAATCTAAAAAAATTTTTTTAGAGTCAGGGTCTCGCTATGTTGCCCCGGCTTGTTTGGAACTTCTGTCCTCAAGCCATCTTCGCATGTCAGCCTCCCCAAATTCTGGGATTACAGGCATAAGCCACCGCACCTGACCATTTGTCTTTTCATTTTTTAAAAAATATGACAGGTGACTCCATAATCATCCGAAACCAGCATTGCTGAAGTCAGTTTTTGTTAAGTAATCCATTCTTCAAATTAAAGAATTTGAGTGCATGTCCCATAATGAGAGACTTGGTAAGGACACCCTTCTTTCTGGTGTATATATTTTTGATAAAATAAAAACTTGCTTTATATTCATGCAGACATAGTGTGCTTACACAAATACCCATTAGAACACTCTAGTTTCTACATAGCTGGTCTGTATAGGTCTTTTTTTTTTCTGACAGAGTCTCTCTCTGTTTTCCGGGCTGGAGTGCCATGGCGTCAGCCTCACTCACAGCAACCTCAAACTCCTGGGCTCAGGAGATCCTCCAGACTTAGCCTCCCAAGTAGCTGGGACTACAGGCATGCGCCACCATGCCCGGCTAATTTTTTCTCTATATATTAGTTGGTCAATTAATTTATTTCTATTTTTAGTAGAGACGGGGTCTCGCTTTTGCTCAGGCTGGTTTCGAACTCCGGACCTGGAGAAATCCGCCCACCTTGGCCTCCCAGAGTGCTAGGATTACAGGTGTGAGCCACTGCGCCTGGCCTGTATATTCTTGATTATTTCCATGTTACTGTTCATCCATTCTGGCCATAATTGGAGCCTGAATTTCCATCCACTCAGCAAGCTATGCATTTCCCCCATCATCTGTGCATAAGCATGAGAGAAAACCGATGGAAACAGTAAAAGACTCACCTCTCTGGGCTGACTATAACTTCCCTCTTCCTGCCAACAGAGGTAGAATAATTTGCTGTTGTCACACTCTGTGTCATCCTTCTTATTCCTCACCAGGACCCGGGTTTCAGGGATAAACAGGTATATGTTTACAAGACCACCTGGAGGGCAGGACAGTAAATCTCACCCTTACCTTTGCATTCAGTTGATGCCAATTAAAATGCTCTTGCCAGGCTGGCTGCATTCCCATTCCAGGCCTGGCCCACAGCAGTCACTCCCAATTTAAAATGAATGAATGAATTCACATGCATCCCTAGAGAAAGAGAGAGAGAAGATTATGTTCAAATGTCCCAGCAACGCCACTGAAAAATGAAAATCTCAATACCATTGCAGAAAATCACATTGAGAACAAGTTAGCAGTTTTGCTCTTGTCATCAATAGGGCCATTAATAATAATAATGATAATAATATTGACTAGTTGTTTTGAATGTTTATGATCCATGTGCTAAGTACTGTGCCGAGCACTTGGCATATGTCCCAAGTGGGGTTCTTCAGAAGCAGATGCTGAGATGGAGTTTGGGGTGCAAGATGTTTATGAGGGATCAACACAGCGAAAGGGAGGAGGAAGCAGGACTCGGCAGCAGAAGGTGAGTTGTGATTCTGGCCCCCCAAATTCTCATCCAACCTTGTTGAGGGGTTCTGAGTAGAGTATTAACCCTTTGCACTCGCTTGCTTTTTTCTCGATTCCTTTATTCTACAAGGGATTTAATTTTTTAAATACCCCAGATTTTACAAAGCGCAGCAGTAGATTAAAAAAACCGGAGTTTCTTTTCATATAAACTTATTTATTTGGATTTTTTATATTTCAAATTATTGATGCATTCAAAGAGTAATTTTAACCTCTATCATTTTTCATGGTATGGTATGTTTTGAAGCATTCACCCACACGAAGACCTGGTTTACATTCACATGTTTTGCAAATATAAATCGTCTCTCTTCTTCCTCCTTTGATTTTTCTGTTAGAACAAACAACACGATCTTTGTGTTTTTTGTTAGGGTGGGGTGTGATTGTATGGAGCTTTCCATCTAAACGTTGCTCTAAGTCAGTGGATAATAATCCACCCCTAAGAGTTAGTGGACCATCTCTGCATTTACATTTTATTTGTCCTTTCATGCTAATGAAAACAAGATACTGGAAAAATAGACAAAAATCCTCCCCCCTCCCCCCGAGGGAAACTAAGTGTCGAGTGTGGCTCCACATACGAGCTGCCACCGATGCCAACCGTGTCGGGTCACACTCGACATCCGAGTGCAAAGGGTTAACTATCAGGAGGTTCTGCATTAGGCTGAAATACCCACAGCTTTTTTTGTTTTTTTTTAAGAGGGTCTTATTCTGCTGTCCAGGTGGAGTGCAGTCTTGTGAATATTGATCACTGAAACCTCAAACTGCTGGGCTCAAGTGATCTTCCCAAGTAGCTGGGACTATAGCTGTGTGCCACTACACCTGGTTGTTTTAAATTTTTATGTAGAGAAGGGGTCTCACTATGTTGTCCAGGCTGGTCTCCAACTCCCAGCCTCAAGTGATCCTCCCACCTCAGCCTCCCAAAGTGCTAGGATCACAGGCGTGAGCCACCGTGCCCGGCCTCGCCACATCTTTATACTCATACCTTGCATAGTCATGGAGTACAGGCGGCCCCAGGCAGGGCCTGACCTTCAGTGACAGGCTCTCTACAGCTGAGGCCAACTCGGAGAGAATTAACAGCCAGAGAATCTGCTGCCTGTGCTCCTGGCGGCTGGACACCAAGTTCTTCCTTGAAGGGGATGTGAGTAGCCTATCTCCATATTTTTACCATGGCATACGTTATTAGATTTAATCAGCACAGCATCTCTATGATCTGAGTATTGTTGATCTCTCCACTTTTCTAATAAGGAAATTGTGGCCTATGGCTGGGCGCGGTGGCTCACGCCTGTAATCCCAGCACTCTGGGAGGCCGAGGCAAGTGGATTGCTCAAGGTCAGGAGTTTGAAACCAGCCTGAGCAAGAGGGAGACCCCGTCTCTACTAAAAATAGAAAGAAATTAATTGGACAACTCAAAAAAAAATATATATATATAGAAAAAAAAAATTAGCCGGCACGGTGGCGCATGCCTGTAGTCCCAGCTACTTGGGAGGCTGAGACAGAAGGATTGCTTGAGCCCAGGAGTTTGAGGTTGCCATGAGTGAGGCTGATGCCACGGCACTCTAGCATGGGCAACACAGTGAGACTGTCTCAAAAAAATAAATAATAATAATAAAGAAATTGTGGCCTAGAATGATTAAGCAAGTTGTCCAAGTAATGGAGCCAGGATATATATGTCAAGGTCTGTCTGACTCCCCAGATTTGGGGCATTGTTATACTATTATAGACTAACCCAAAAGACTGAATATTTATCAGATTCTTAAAATCTCATATAGGGAGGGCACCATACACATCCTTACTGAAGTCAAATGCTAAGACAAAATTCTCGGTGAGGACTCTCCTAACAACATCTCCTAACAACATCTATCTTTTATATAGCCTTTGCCCACGGAGGCACAAGATGGATGATTAAAGTCAGGGGTGGAGGGTGAGAAAATGATGTTAAAAAGAAATATGTTAAAATGAACTTTTAAGAGAGGGACTATGTGTCCAGCATTCCAACCAGAATAACACAATTCCTAAAAGACTTATTTCCGCTTGCTCTTCATCATTCCAAAACCCCTGATTGAGTGCCAGTTCTATGCACTTGCTATTCTGGGTGTTGACAGTGCCATGGAGAACAGAAGGAACAAAGCCCTGCCCTCACGGCTCTTATCTTCCAGTTTGGAGGGCAGTTATTAAATCATTATGAGAGAGAGACATTTAGATTAAAATCTCAACTCTTTACCATGATCTGGGCACCCCCTACGACCTTACCCTAGGTGTCCTCAAACTACGGCCCACGGGCCACATGCGGCCCGCCGAGGACATTAATCCAGCCAGCCACCGGGTGTTTTTGCCACCGCTGCCTGTCCTGCTCAGCAGCCGACCCGTCCTGGGCCCACAGTGCGCACTCTCCAACGGTCTGAGGGACAGTGGACTAGCCCCCTGTTTGCAAAGTCTGAGGACCCCTGCTAGACCATCCTCCTTGCTCTTCCCAGCACAGCCAGTCATTTCCAGCCAGGGCCTTCCCATTTGCTCCTTCCTCTGCTCCTGCTCCAGGTCCCCACTCCATAGCTCCTTCCCGTTATTTCGGCCTCAGCTCAAATGTCAACGCCTTGGAGGAGCCTTCCTTAGGCACGCTGTCCTGTCCCGTCACTCTCTTTTAGGTTTTCCTTCCTTTTTTTTTTTTACACTCTCAAAGATGGTAGGCAGTAGACTGGTCCAATAAGGAACAGTGAGGCCATATTTGCTATACAGACTTGGTCTCTTCGTTTATATCAGCTACACAAGGACAGAGGCTCTGTCCTTTTTGTGCGTGCCTTCCATCTCCAACACCTAGGAAAATGCCTGGCACGTGGTGGGCGTGCAATGCGTTGTTAGTGGACGAAACACGGAATGATTACATGACAGGGAAGTGCTGTAAGCTATGAGAATCCTTAAAGGAGTCATCTACCTAATTAGGGATCAGGCAAATGCTGGACATGGGATGTGTGAATGACCTTTTTCTTTAGGTTGAATAGAAACCCCTGAAAGGGAGGAAGTTTATTTTATGTTTTTTGGAATCTTTTGCCAGCACACAATAGCATGTTTGAAATACCGAAGGTGCATACTAAAGGAAAGCTCCTCAGTGTTCAGAATCCGGAACAGAGACTCTGTAACTTTTGAGCCCTTCTATAGTTGAGCTTATCCTGCTTTATTTCAATTTTTAAGTTGTATATTTGCATCCTCCTCTCGTCACTGAACCTCTTGGAATCTTACTCTGTTGTGTATCCCAGAGCCCAGCAGAGCGAATGAAGAAATGAACGCCCTCTAAGATGATCTTTCCCCAGCTCCTTTGCAAAGTAAGTTAGCCATCATTATACCCAGTACATGGTGTGTGGCTCCTAGGAGATGTTTAACAAATAGTTATTGAAAGAATGAATTCTGCCTCCTGGTGTAGCCTGGAGAATAGGTATGACGCATCTATTATACAGGGAATGGCTCGAGACAACATGTTTTAGAGACAGGTGAGGAATCCTGCTTCTAGTCTGGTTCTGCTCCAGAGCTGTGGAGTGACTCTGAGTAGCCTGATGACCCTCTGCTTCTCAGTTCCCTCATCTGTAAAATTGTGTGCCTGACCTGAGGGCCGATGGGGTCCTCAAACTGCGGCCTGCCGAGGACATCTATCCAGCCCGCCCAGTATTTTTGCCGCCGCTGCCTGTCCTGCGTAGCAGCCGACTCGTCCCGGGCCCACAGTGCGCATGTGTGGTATGTGTGCCGCACTCTCCAACGGTCTGAGGGACAGTGAACTGGCCCCCTGTTTTAAAAGTTTGAGAACCCCTGTGTCAGGGCATCTGGAATCTGGTTTTATTCCACCATTACTAACACCTGTAATCCTTAGGCAAGTGCAACCACTGACCCTCAGTTTCTTCCTCTCTAAAATAATAGTCCTAACTTTCGAAGACTGTTACTGGGAATAGGATACGAAATTGAGAGAGGTGCCAAAAAACTCATCAATCAAGTTAAATAATATTTTAATACCATATTTTAAAAATATCAAAATTAATGCAAAAAAATTCATGAACAAACTATCAACATTTTCAATAAAACAGGATCAGTAACAGTGCCAAGCCATATTGGAGCCTGAGGCAAAAAGAAAGAGGGTTAAATGAGATCACGCTGGTAAGGTACTTAGCACGAAGCCTTGTGCATAGCAAGCATTCAAAAACTGTAAACCAGTATTATGAAATAACCTCTGAGGTTTCTCCTACTTATGGAATTGCTTAGCTGCCAATTGTCCCCACATAATTTTGAGTCTTTTAAAAATTGGCAACTACTGACTTAACTTTATGCAAAAATTCTGTAGGGTTGGTGCAATGCCCACCATCCATCTGTAAAAATGTAGAATTAGTACTAGCGAAAAATAAACTACACTCTAAACTCTTATGTGCATGCAAGATACAATTAAATAAAGGCATACCTCGTTTTATTGCACTTTGCAGATATTATGATTTTACGAATTGAAGATCTGTGGCAACCCTGAGTTGAACAAGTCTGTTGGCGCCATTTCTCCAACACCATGTGTTCACTTCATGTCTCTGGGTCACATTTTGGTAATCCTCACAATATTTCAAACTTATAATTAAATCTGTTATGGTGATCTGTGATAAGTG